ACCGGTTCTATAGCCTGAATGTCCAGGAGATGTTGGATGGCCTCCTTGGTGAGGTTCTTCTTGATCAGATCTTTTGGAGATGGGCAAAGAATGAACCAGTTCGGGGGTGTTGAGAGGAATTCTAGAGATAGGCCGAATCTGATGGTATTTAGGACCCAGAGGTCTGTGGTGGTGGCTTGCCATTTGTGAGCAAAAAGGGCTAGCCGGCCACCAATGGGGGAGCCCCCCGGGCCGTCACTTGGATCTGCGGTAGGGACACCCCCCGGCTCCTCGAAAGGGCCGCCTTGCTTGGGCCTGTTGTCTGAACCTGTCCCTGTTATTGTTTCTCTCACCTTGACGGTCCAATCTGGGCTGATAGGGCTGGGAAAAGGCCCCCTGATCCGTACCTGCATCAGGTCGGAAGGATGGTCTGCAGGAATAGGAGGGAGTTCTCCTCTCCGTCCTCTTTGTCAGGTGGGCCAGGATCTTGCGTTTGTCCTTATTTTCAATTAGATAAGTGTCAAGCGCCTCACCAAAGAGTTGGCTACCCTTATAGGGTGCCGCCACCAAACACCACTTAGCCTTCATGTCCGCTCTCCAATGTTTGAGCCACAGCAATCTGCGTGCACCAGTGTTGTATGCTATTGCTCTGGCAGAGAAATTGGTTGCAAGGAGGAATCCGACATGAGCTCTGCGTCCGCCACTAACCTTCTTAAATTCTGATGAGTCTTCTCCTCCACTGGGGGAATACTCGACTGGAGTTGGCGCAGCCAAAGAAGAGATGTCCTGGCGAAAAAGGACGTAGTGATGCCTGCCTTGATGGCCCACGCCGAGGCCTGGTGTGCCCTGCAGAAGATGAGGTCCATCTTCTTGTTTTCTGATTTCAGGGCCTCCGCTGCATCCCCGGCTATCGGGGGTGGAGAAAAAAGGGTTGCAATGGGTTCAGCTCTGATAGCGCTGGGTCTATGTTGAACATTTTCTTGTCTGCCCCCCCCATTGGAAGGAAGGAACCCGGTGCCCCCATATTGTTCTGAACAGAATCAAAGAAGAGAGGTGGGCAGGGAACAAAATGTTGGGTATAAGTGGGCTGTGAGAACACCTTGTTGTTTGTGACCTTACTAGTTGAGGAACCGGTGGAAGGTCCTTTCTGTGGAATCGGGGGCCTCTCGATCTTTGCGGTGCTACTGGCCTTGTGCAGCAGTGTCTTGAATAAGGACGGGTTAAAGAGGCCCACAAACGAAGGAGGATCTGGAGATATATCCTCTTCGTCGAACAGCTTCTGGTCCGTCAGCTCGTGATCCTCCGCAGGAGCCCTCCTGCCTCTGGAGGACCTAGAGGAAGAAATAGAGTCTTGGTATACAGAGGCCTCCTCTTGGGAGAGGGAGCTACCCCTTGAAGCCACAGACCCTGTTCTGGAACAATGGTGCCTTGAGGATGCCATGGCCTGTGCAACAGCCTGAGATATCAGGGATTGTAGATGCTCTGAAGACATTGCTCCATGAATGTCTGAGTGACGGGTGCCTGATTCTGAACCCAGATCTCCAGGCCCCTCGCTTAGGGGAGATCCATTCCCCAGTTCCGTATCAGCCTCAGGTTCCAGAGGGTCTTGACTAGGCTTCCTTGGGCCAAATATTTCCTCCTCCCTGTAATTGGGTGGCTCTAATTCCTCCTCAGTGGAATTTTGCCTCCTTTCAGCTCGAGAAAATTGTTTCTCTAGGGCCTGGTGTCGTCGCTTAGCCTCTCTATCCGCAGCTTTGGAAGGCCTTTTTGCAGAGATTGCCTTGGCCTTGATCTTGCCAGCCACTTCCTGTTTGGAGGATCTCTGTCTCTTATGAGCAGGAGGGCTGCTGATGGAAGGTTCCTGCGCTGTTTGGGCTGTGTTTGTATCTGCCATTTATAAGACTGAAGGGGATTCTCAGTTCAGGTTAATTCAGGATTAATTGATAATTGATTTAACTCTTTTTTATCAATTTATTTATTTATTTATTATTACTACTACTACTACTACTACTACTACTACTACTACTACTACTACTACTACTACTACTACTACTACTACTACTACTACTACTGATGTGGCTAGGAAGAAGGAAGGAAGTCTGAGTCCGATTCCCTGGCCTCAGGCCACGGGGAGGTAGCTATTCTGCCTGTGCAGCTCAGCCGGCTCTCTGGAGGCTGCTGAATTCCGTTTGTGTATTCTGCCTGTGGAGTTCAGCAGGGCTCCGATTCCCTGGCCTCAGGCCACGTGGAGTTAGCTATTCTGCCTGTGCAGCTCAGCTGCTGAACTCCGTTTGTGTATTCTGCCTATGCAGCTCAGCAGGGTTCCCTGGAGACTGGTGAACTCCGTTTGCGTTTGCGTCTGAGAACAGAGCCAAATCAGGTAACTTCTGAAGATTAGCTCTCTACCGGACGGAGGAGTTTCAATTAAGCCACGAAGCTGCAACTCTCCGCGGACCAGCTGATCCTCGGGTAATTCGGCTAGTTTCAGAAGAACAGCCTGCGAGTGCTGGCTAGTGGGAAGCTCTTGGATGGAAATCCCTGTGGGAGGGGTGAGATGGAAGGAGAAGGAGGAATGCTTCCCCCTTTTGCCCAGAGTAACACTTGGCGACCGGAAAATGGCGTCTGCTCTTTGTCTGTCCGGCTACCGGCTGGATTCAAGCCAACCTCGTGGCTGTGCTGCGATCGGCTGATCAGGCATCAGAAAAGGAAAAGGAAAGTGAACAGCCGTTCGTTTTCTAGCAATTCCCCCCCCCTTCGAATTAGTCAGAGTATCAAGAAATACGACCTTATCTTCAGGAGTCAATGAAATTCAGTCTAAACGGGCTCAAGACTAGTTGAGACTGGGAAAGGGAGGTCCCAGGAGGAGAGGTGGAGCAAAATTGGTCAACTAGTCTACGGGCAGAAGACGAAGTTAACCCATTGGTGGATTCTCCATTCGTCATGATGGAGAACTGGATAATCCAGTTGGTGCCACAAGTTGGTGCCACAAGAGGGAACCATGATCCTGACGAACCTCTACCAGGCAGAGACTGTCCCTCAGCACAGAAACACCCCAAGACTGCTCAAGAGCTCCACAGTTCTTCAACCACAGTGCAGAAGAAGGGGAAGGGGTTAACTGGTTGGGACCACTCCACGGAGTGGAAGAACCAGACGGCAGTCCACAGTCCCTCGGTTAAACAGCTGAAGGAGAAGTTTGACCAGCTGGAAATCAGAGAAGTGGTTCCTACTGTCCAGTGCGAGTGTTTAATGGGGGTTAAGGCAAAGACCATCCATCGCTTCCACTCCCCGCTGGAGTCCCAGTCCCATAGCTGGGGCCCATGCTACATCACCCACTCCCCATTCAGCAGCAATCTCAAGCCCCCGATATCAACCAAACCCTATGCAGCAGCATCAAGCTGCGAGCCCGAGAGCCCAGCACAGGGGATTCTGGAGAGTAATACGGCCCCAGCCACAGGATCAGCAAGCTGCCCAGCAGCCAGTGTATCTGGCCTCACAATATCTCGAGCCACCCCCTATCAAGCCCACATTTATTTATTTATTGCTTCTATTTATATCCCGCCCTTCTCCTTGCGGACTCAGGAGACCCTGAGAAGTTACCTTTCTTCTGAATCAAGTGTGAGCCCACTTTAATTGCTATGTTTATGCCTACCCTGACAATGCCATGATGGTGATTGCAGTGACAGCCAACTTGGAGGGGGAAGCAGCTGAGTGGGTGACCAACTTGCATGACGAGGGACTCCCAGAACTGCTGGACATGAACCTATTCATGGAGTAATTGAGGGCAAGGTTTGAGAATGAATCCCAAGTCCTGCAGGCAGAAAAAGAGATCCACCGTTTGAGACAAAGTGGTCGCCCAGTGAAAGAATATGTCTGGGAATTCCGGAGAGTCACTGGTCGCTTAGGACAGCAGTCAGAACTATCGCTGATCCACTACTTCAAGCAAGGGCTGGACTGTGACCTACTCTAAGCATATATCTACGGGGGAATTCCAAACCGATTCCAAGAGTGGTATAGCTATATATATATATGTGTGTGTTTTCTGAGGTTTTCGCGGGTGTTTGTATGTAGGTCTTTGGTTATTCGGGTTTTCTCCCGCGTAAAATTGGAAGTGTCTTGGCGACGTTTCGACGAAGTCACATTCGTCATCTTCAGGCTGGTGTCTTCAGCTTCGTGCTTCTAGGAGTAATGTGTGATCGCAGCTGTTTCTTCCTTTGGCAGCTAAAAGGAAGAAACAGCTGCGATCACACATTACTCCTAGAAGCACGAAGCTGAAGACACCAGCCTGAAGATGACGAATGTGACTTCGTCGAAACGTTGCCAAGACACTTCTAATTTTACGCGGGAGAAAACCCGAATAACCAAAGACATGTATGTATGTATGTATGTATGTATGTATTTTTCAAAATTTGGATTGCTAACAAAGAATTAAGGGAGAACTGGAATAGCCATTTTGAACTTTTTAGTTCTTTTCAACCAGACATACCCTTCTGAGATATTTGGGCCGACAGGGTGCACCAAACTCAAAATAATATGTATGTATGTATGTATGTATGTATGTATGTGTGTGTGTGTGTGTGTGTGTGTGTGTGTGTGTGTGTGTGTATCTCCTTAATAACTGTAAAAATCCGAATCCCGGGCATATCTATTCAATACTACACAATCTTCGAACTCCGGGATAAATATAAACCAGCTGTTTATTGTTAAAAAAATTAAAACAATAAAACCAACTATTTACAATGTTAAAACAAACTTAGTTTTCGCTGGTCCACTGCCAGCGTCTTCAGAGTAAAGCATTGGGGTGGAGAAAGATCTCTTATAAGCCTTGCTAACCTAGTTTTTTACACATTGACCGCGTGATAGGGCCATTCATCTTAACTGACTGTAATTGCCTTAAATGTCCCACCTCCCCTGGAGTGCAAACACACACACACACACACACACACACACACACACAAGGATATCATATTTTATACACAAGCTGTATTTTACAGATAACAGAAGAGTTTTATCTGTCAACTTACATTCCAGTCTAGTGATGTTACATCCTTATTGCTGGGAACATCATGCCCTCCTTCTCTTATACAGTGCCTCAAAACTAGTTGTGTGGAACTACCATTGCTGTTTTCATTAAGATTCCATATTCTGGCAGTGGAATCACCAGATCTAAAAAGAATGAATACACATATTACTCACAAAGAAAAGCTTGGGGTTCTGTTGGCTCAAAATATTGTTGTGAAACAATATTATTATATATTAGTAGGAAATCCATTTCTTCGTATGAGCACATGCCTTCCTTCCAAGAACAAAGATTATCTGCCAAATTCTATTTACTGTTGTTGCTAGAGTTGATATTGCTGGGCAAGAATGAAAAGTATCAAAAAGTTCACATTTGTTTTAATGCTAATTTACCCTGATGCTAGTAGATCACTGACAGGATTCCAGGCACAGATGAACACCTCTGATTCATGACCCCGAAGAACTGTTGCTTTGTTAGAAGGAATTTCAACATCCCCATCGATTTCCATTGGTTTTGAGTGATTATCTGCAAAACATGCATAAATCTATGTAAACTAATACTAAGTACAGTGAAAATAGGAACAATGAAAATAAAACAACAGTAACAAAACTAATAGGAAAATTAGATTAATCATAAAATATTGATTGGAAATGTTAATTTTTTTCCAAGAGGACAAGACTATTATTGACTGATATCAAGGCAGTTTAAGCCCGCTTTCTGTCCCAGAATATGAGGACCAACAAAAACTTATAATGCTTAAACATATCAATACAATTTAGAATTTCAGAATGCTTATTTGTAATTTCCATGTAGTAACCTGTGAAAAGGCATCAACTAACATGTAGTGAAAAGGCATCAACTAACATGTAAGGCTAAAATGAGGGCAATGTGTCTGTGGCTTTTGGTCTTGGAGCATAAAAATCTAGAGTTCAAAGATATCTATACATATATCTAGCTTTGTCACATAAATTTGCATTTGATCTAAACATACTCATTAGAAAACATAGTTTAACTTACTTATTGCATGCGCCCCATTCTCCTCTCCATTCACAGTGGCTTCTCCAGTCTTTGGTGTATTTTGCTGTGGGACAGCAGTAGTTGTTGCTGTGGCTGTTGTAGTAGTTGTGGCTGCTGTTGCTGTTGCTATTATAGCTACAGCTGTTGCTGCACTAGCTTGCTGCTGTGCTAATTTCTCCCTGAAAGCCTGCTGCCGAGTTTGCACTACATCAGGCATTACTGCATCTATCAAAGATAATGATTCTATAGGTCTGCCATCAAACACTGTACCATCCTAGGAATGGAAAGAAGAAAAGAAAAAGAATTAAACTAAAATTTTCCTGAAAAATAAGGTGAAATACTAGCTAAGCAGAATACAATTACCATATAATCTGAAATTATAGTCTTCAATTGAATCTATAGAATTTTTACTACAAACTTGCTAGACTACTATGCAACCACGAAAAAAAATTTGAATGATTAATCATAAAATAAAGTATAGAAGTCACATACTGACAATGAAATTGACAGTCACATACTTAAGAACAAGAAAAAATATTTTGACTTATCCTCAGAAGACATTGCTCAGAGTATCACATAAAATTATAATTAACAAAAGTAAGGCTTCATTTGAAACCTTTTGATCTGGAATCTTGATTTACAAAGGCTGGATTTGGGGAGATTCAGAAAAGTCATTTTATTTCTTTTTTTTCTCATGAAGGTTAAATAAGAACATAATAAAATTCCTTTTTAGATCAGCAAAAGTATTTCTAGTCCAACATTGGATGAATCACATAGCTATATAGTCTATAATGAGTCTTTTCAACCTTTTTACCAATTGTACCACTTTTAGGGTATGGCAATATTTGAGTACCACCAGTCGCCTAGCAAAGTGTCAAAAACTTGATGACAAAAAAAAAAAGAAAGGAAAAAAAGTGATTAAAGTACAGGTAGTCCTTGATTTACAACAGTTTGCTTAGTGACTATTCAAAGTTACAACGGCACTGAAAAAAGTGACTTTTGACCATTTTTCACACTTATGACCATTGCAGCATCCTCAGGATCATGTGATTTACATTCGGATGCTTGGCAATTGATTCATATTTATGATGGTCACAGTGTCCCAGGGTCATGTGATCTTTAAAACCTTTTGACAAACAAAGTCAATGGTCCACTGGAGGAGGCTCGCCATCCCTGGGCCGTGTGGGGGACTCCAGGACGGTGGTGCGGGCTGCTCAGAGCCCTGGGCAGTGGAGGGCAAGTGCCCAGCCCAACCCTCAAGCTCCCAGGGCACCAGGACCCTACAGCCCAACGGAGTCCAGCCCAACTTTCCCAAGGGGGCGCCCAGCTGCGCTTATCGCCTCCTTAAGGCTGCTGCTACTGTGCTTGCTGTCCTTGGCCAGGTTGCTTATGGTGGGTGTAGGAGGGCAAAGTGCGTGAGTCAGAGGGAGGCCCACTCCCTCTCCATGCGAGGAAACCTAGCTTTGTAACCAAAGCGACAGGATGAGAGACCACCAGGATAGGCCAGGAGGAAGGGGCAAGGGGATGGCAAAAGAGCAGCAGGGCTGCTTATGGCCAAGTGCTAAGACAGGACTTCCTTCAGACTCTCCCTCCCTCTCATTCCAATCTCCCTCCTTCCTTCCTTTCCTTTCTTTCCTTCCTTCCTGTTTCCCTCCCTCCCTGCTTCTCATTCCCACCTCCTTCCTTCCCTTCCTTCCTGTTTTCCCCCTTCCTCTTTCCCCCCTCCCTGCTTCTCATTCCCATCTCCTTCCTTCCCTTCCTTCCTGTTTCCCTCCCTCCCTGCCTCCCTCTTTCTCATTCCTATCTCCTTCCTTCCTTCCTGTTTCCCTCCTTTCCTGTCTCCCTCTTTCTCATTCCCATCTTCTTCCTTCCTGTTTCCCTCCCTCCCTCCTCCCCTCCCTCCCTCCTTTCTCATTCCCATCTCCTTCCTTCCTTTCCTTCCTGTTTCCCTCCCTCCCTCCATCCTTCCCTGCCTCCCTCTTTCTCATTCCCATCTCCTTCCTTCCTGTTTTGCTGCCTCCCTCCTTCTCATTCCCATCTCCTTCCTTCCTCCCTCTGTGCCCAGGAAGGGACAAGGGGAGGGGGAGAGGTTGCCAGCACGGCCGGTGGTCATGCTGCCGGTGGCCATGCTACTGGTGGCCATGGCTTGAAAGGTCACTGTAAATTCCTGGACAAGAGCCGCACAGCCTTGTGGCGGGAAGATATTTGCGATGAGGGAGGGAGAAAAACAGACAAGAAATGTAGCTGGGGAGGTGTCACCCTCCTCAAGGAATGAGGAAAGGCACCATCCCCTGGGGCTGGGCAAGCCAAAGCTGGCCAGAAGCCGAACCTGCCTAGGTGTGCACATAGGAATACTGAGTGCGAAGGGCCTGGTGTCCCGGGTGAAAGGGAAGCACTCAGAATGCAGTCAGTCTGTGGGGCAGGACGGTCACCTGGGATGTGTGCTTACTGCCTCTTGTGCATGTGCCCAGGCAGGTTTGGCTTCTTGCCAGCTTCACCTCGCCCAGCTCAGCCTCTCTGAGCTGTGAGGAGAGCATGCTGCTACCTGCCGAAACTGGGCAGACTGGGCACATCACACAGGTAATGTGGACTCTCACCCTGCTTACAGTACCCCCTCCTCCAGAGCCCACAGAGCCAGGTGTGTGAAGTGGGCGAAGGCCAATTGCTTGCCACCTCCAGCCTATAGTGCCTTTCTTCATTCTTCGTGGAGGGCAACACTTCCCCAGCTGCGTTTCTTGCATGTTTTTTGCTGCCAACTGTTTGTGCGCCCGGCATGGATGGCTGCCACAAACTGTAGATCAGCTCCCAGCTGGCCTGTTTTATCTCCTCTCTTCTCTCCCCCCCTCCTTCTTTTCTGCTCGGTGCAGGTCCATCTGACTCCTCCTCCCAGGGCTGCGTCTTTTTCTCTCCCTCTCTTGCCAAAATTGCCTCCTTTTATATCCTCTCCTGTCTCTGCCCTCCTCTTCCTTTCTCTTCCAGGTGTGTTGGAAGTGCTGATCCTTTGTCTCGCCCCAGCAGCCCTGCAGCTCCTGATGACTCTCTCATGGTAAGTCCTGTGCTGCGCTGCTTTAGCTTGTTCCCTCCCCCCTGCTACACTTTTCAAGGCTTGGCAGGGTCATGTACCACCTGCCAGGTGCCTGCGTACCACCGGTTGAAAAGCCCTGGTCTATAATAGCACAATGTACCTCTCTTCTACTTTTTAAGAGCAATTTAGAATTAAAAATGGTATGTAGAAGATGACCAGGATAAGCCCAAGGGTGGGGTCAAATGCATCATCAGTTTGAAGTCTCTACACCTCCATAAAAGATCTAAGTGTAGCCCCTCCTTGAAGTTTGTTGACTCTTATCTGGCACAAAAAAGCCTTGAACAATAAATAGCAGATCAGATTCTTGTGTATAAACTTGTAGTACTTTTGAGCCCTGTTCATATTTTAGTCTACTTAGGGGATGAATGAACTCCATACCTTGTATATGTTAATTTTAGTTAATTTGGTCTAATGGTTAAGGCATCAGGCTAGAAAGCAAGAGACCATGATTTCAAGCCCTGACTTGGCCATATATATAAATATATATATATTGTGGTGACTCCTTCAGATGCTTCCCCAGATATAAGCTCAAAGAAAGATGAACCAGTTCCAGGGATGTCTGGAGGGGAGCTGGTTAATGGCTCCGAGTAGCCACTTGAAAGGGATTTGGCTCAAGCACAGCTGAAGCTGGATAGCCCTGAGGCTTCAGGTGGAAAAAGCATGCAGCTGCAGCCAGTCAGTGATGAGGAAGAAGTGCTTTCTGCACCTGATCCAAGAATACATAGGGCAGAGAAAAGGCAGGAGCAGATAAGGTCAGCCAGATTACTCACAAGGAGAAAGCCTCGCCCTTCTTGATGGGCTGCACCAGAAACTGGCTATTTAGCACAGCAGACAGATGGAAGCAATGCTGGGAACAATGTGTTCATTTCCTAGCTGTGTGTTTTCTGGTCATTATGATTCTTGCCTCGCTTTAGGTTGACACCGTACCTTGACTTGGATCACGCCTTGTGAACCCTCTTGTATTGTGGCTTTAAATTTGCCTGGTGGGTTCATTTTGATTGGGAAACTTTCAAGTGCATTCACTGGCAATTGCTCTGTGGATTAGCATTGGTCTGCTTGTGGCTGGACTTAATTGGGACAGTTCTGGGGTTTTGGTGAAGGGAGTTGTGGGGGAATATTAATAAATCCACTAAACCACAGTTATGTGTGTATGGGACAGCATATATATATGAATTAATAAAATTGTATTAATGAATTAATAAAATTAAGAACACCAACATAATCTTAAGTTACCCTTTTCAAGGACTAGAAACTTAAGAATAATCAGAATTTATCGAACAAAGACTGTGAATTTTTTGAAGTTCTACCCTAGTTCTGACTTTGACCTGACAACATTATTATTTTTAATTATCCTATCACATTTGATTATGATTAGCAAAGCAAGCAGAATATGCATTATTCCATACCTAAAACAATGAGATATTTTATTATGTATAAACTGCTTTTTAAATAATTTTTCTATTGACAATACAGTAATTGGCTTATAATAATTTATGTAACATAGTGCAAGTAAAACCAACCAAACAGACAACATGTACAGAAAATGAATTATCTTCTAAGTGCAATACAAAATAATGGTCTCAAATAAATGAGCCTTAGCAAAAAACACTTCTTAATAATGATTTCTGTGTAGCACAGTTAACACCTGACATCAAACAATATCAGAAATCCATTGTGAGTAATATTATTATTACATGCAAATATTTGTTTGCAACCTAAATATATATTTGGTAACAAAATTTCATGCTAAATATAGAATGTGTGCATTACAAACTTAGTTATCTAAAAGAAGTGAGTTTAGGGAGGCATAAATCTATAATATTCATTTACAGACTGAATAGAATTTCATCTATGAAGGTGATAATAAGAATTCACATTTTTGGATGTATGTATGTATGTATGTATGAATGAATCTATAAACAAACAAACAAACAAACAAACAAACAAACAAACAAACAAACAAGCTAATTCTCTGGGATTTTAGAATTCGAAAAAACACCTGCCAAACAACACCCAGACTTAATTGTTGTTGATAAGAAATAAAAAAAAATCTTGGTAGATGTTGCAATATATGGAAATAGCAGAACAGAAGAGAAAGAACTGAAGAAAACCATAAAATATAAAGACCTGTAAAACGAAGTAGAATGGCTGTGGCAAAAAAAATGCAAAGATAGTACCAATAGCGGTAGGTTCCTTGAGTGCAGTCCCAAAACATCTAGAGCACCACTTGAACACCATCGGCATTGATAAAATCCCCATTAGTCAATTGTAGTCAATTGTCAATTGTCCCCCCCCTCCAACTTCCATTCCCGAGAAGCAACAAATTCTAATAAAAGAGTGATGCAACTAAGGTGCTATGATAAGTGGGTTTTAGGCGGTGTAAAACTCACTGGCCATTCACATCTGTTATCAGAGAGCTGAATACTCCACTCAGTCCCTTTCCAGCTTTGTTTATATATGAAACATCATTTGCAATAATGTTTCAGATTGTTTAAAAGTCCCGGGAATTTACAAATCAACTTAGAATGTCTCCAAAGCAATAGAAAAGCATCTCATTCAGTATGATTTTCAGGTCAAAACTGCAATGTATCCAACCACTCAACAAACATTAAAATCATGTTATTGATACTTCCAAGTCATATTTGAAATTAAAAGTAATATACAATTAAATATAAAAATATCATTTTCAAAAGAGCAGAATGAAAAAGAGACCCAACAGCTTTCACCAGTTAAAGAAAAACAAGCACATCCATTTTAATTAAAACCAACATTAACAAATAAGTCAGGTCTGGTTTTTGTTCTTCTATCCTTCAAAATTAGCATCAACTCAAGCAAACTAGTTTGCCTTAGTTTGATCAAGCTCTAATTGTTAAACATTTTCTACCTAAGGAAGAGATGATACTTGCCTCGTTGATGCTTATCTCTGCTTCCACATACTGTAAGCCTTTCTGAAGTATAGAGATAAGGGCAGCAGGTGGCACTAACGTTCCATTTATGTTGGATTGGCTAATATGACTCTCTATTCCAAATGTAAATGCGGAATGGGAGAAACCTAAGAAAAAGGAAGACATGATATGAAATCTAAGCTCTCTGCAATGTGACACATATACTAAATACAACACAGCTGAATCCTGTGCCAGACCAGAACAAAAATGAAACTTCAGAAATAATATACTTTAATGGGGCATATATTTCCACACATCTGTCACCTTGATGATGATTTCTAATATCTATATATTTGATGATTAAAGCATAAAGCTTAAGTGGCACATTAGATAGAAATGAGTTGAGTGTTTCTAGTATCAAAGGCAACATAAAATGAATGTTGTTCAACCAATTCTGAAAGAGGTTACATGTCACAGAAAGATCTGATACGCAATGAGTTGTTTATTGATCCCATATCATTACCAAGTCTAAAGAGATCTTTTTCTGTGAAGCATCTTATATTCATAAGATATTAGATACTTTGTCAACAGTGACCATAATCAAGATCACATGAAGTAATAGTGCCACTTTATACTGCACTAGTGAGGTCACACTTGGAATACTGCATCCAGTTCTGGTCATCACAATACAAAAAAGATGCTGAGACCTTAGAAATTGTGCAGAGAAAAGTGACAAAGATGATAAGGGGTCTGGGGGCTAGATTTTATGATGGAAGATTAATGGAGCTAGTATAATAGCCAATACCCTAGATCAGTGATGGCAAACCTTTTAGAGACCGAGTGCCCCAAAACCGCCCTCGCCCCCACTTTGTGCCCACGTGCCACCCCGCTCCGCCTACCTGCAGGGCCACCCACTGCCTCCACAGCCCGCCAATCGCCCGGGTGGCCCAGCAGCGCCATAGCTACACCCTCCGCCCATGTCCCGCAGTATCAACTGTGCGTGATGGGGTGGGAGGGCGGAGTCTTGTCCCCGCTGCCTGGCTGCCATGTCCTTGGCTGCACTGCTCTGTGAGGGCCGTGCTCGGGGGCGATTCTCCTCTGGGGGGCTGCTGATGAGGGGGCCATGGGGGGAGGCGATGGTGCATGTGCCCACAGAGAGGGATCTGAGTGCCACTTCTGGCACGCGTGCCATAGGTTCGCCACCACTACCCTAGATCACAGGTCGGCAACCTGTGGCTCCGGAGCCGCATGTGGCTCTTTGAGCCTTCTGTGGCTCCCAGCTTCCTCTGCCACTTGCGCTTCCCTTCTCTCTCTCCCTCTCTCTCTCCCTCTCTCTCTCACCGTGTTCTCCAATGAGCTGACAAGTTTATTGGGTGGGGCTCCTGCCTTGGCTGCATCTCTGCAGGAAGCAGGAAGGGCAGGAGAGTGCCAGCCTGTTGGAGAACAGCTTGAAGCCAGCTTGCCAGGTGAGCAGAAGATTGGAGAGAGGGAGAGAGGGAGAGGAGAGAGAAAGAAAGAGGGGGGAGAGGAAAGAGAAAGAGGGAGAGGAAAGAGAAAGGGGGAGAGGAAAAAGAAAGAGAGGGAGAAGAGAGAGAGGGAGAGAAAAAGGGAGAGAGAAAAAGAGGGAGAGAGAAAAAGAGAGGGGGAGGAGAGAGAAAGGGAGAGGAGAGAGAGAGAGAGAAAGAGGGGGAGAGGAAAGAGAAAGAGGGAGAGGAAAGAGAGAAAGGGAGAGGAAAGAGAGAAAGGGAGAGGAAAGAGAGAAAGGGAGAGGAGAGAGAGAGGGTGGGGAGAGGAAAGAGAGAGTGAGAGACAGAGAAAGAGGGGGGAGAGGAAAGAGAGGGAGAGAAAAAGGGAGAGAGAAAAAGAGAGGGAGAGAGAAAAAGAGAGAGAGAAAAAAGGGAGAGAAAAAGAGAGGGGGAGAGAGAGGAAAGAGAGAGGGAGAGGAAAGAGAGAGAGAGAACTCTATTTCTTTTTAATTAAACTCTTCAATCAAGCTCCCCCGCTCACGCACAAGTGCACGTTTTGTGGCTCCCAGTGTTTTCTTTTCTCTGGGAAACGGGTCGAAGTAGCTCTTTGAGTGTTTAAGGTTGCAGACCTTAAGGTTGCAGACCCCTGCCCTAGATGATAGCTCAAGATCCATAGGGATCTTAACAGACTTGAACACTGGGCCCTATCTAGACAACTAGAATGAAATTCTAGTAGAGAAATGTAAAGTCTTACACTTAGGCAAGAAAAACCAGAAGTACACATATAAATTGGGTGAAACCAGGCTTAATAGCAGCAACTGTGAGAGGGATCTTGGAGTCTTAGTAGACAATCAATTAAATATAAGTTAACAGTGTGCAGCGGCAGCCAAAAAAGCCAATGCAATCCTAAATTGCATTAACAGAGGGATTCAATCAAGATCACATGAGGTACTAATACCACTCTATAAAGCCTTAGTAAGATCACACCTAGAATACTGCAACCAATGATGGTCTCCGCTTTATAAAAAAGATGTTGAGACTCTAGAAAAAGTGCAGAGAAGAGCAACAAAGATGATTAGGGGACTGGAGTCTAAAACATATGAAGAATGGCTACAGGAACTTGGCATGGCTAGTGAAAAGAAGGACCAGAGGAGTCAGGATTGCAGTGTTCCAATATTTGAGGGGCTGTCACAGAGAGGAGGGGGTTAACCTATTTTTCAAAGCACCTGAAGGCCAGACAAGGAACAAAGGATGGAAAATGATCAAGGAGAGATTCAACCTGAAATAAGAAGAAATTTCCTGACAGTAAGAACAATCAACCAATGGAACAGACCACCTTCAGATGTTGTTGGTGCTTCATCACTGGAGGCTTTCAAGAAGAGATTGGACTGCCACCTGTCAAAAATGGTGTAGGGACTCCTGCTTGGGCAGGGGGTTGGACTAGATGACCTACAAGGTCCCTTCCAACTGTTCTGTTCTGTTCTGTTCTGTTCCGTCCCATCCTATCCCATCCCATCCCATCCCATCCCATACCCAAGAGCATCTCTCCAAGCTCAGCTCAAGGCCTGGGAAAACAGGCAAATTCCAGCAGCATGAAAGCCATACAGATCTATCTCCAAGGGAAACTCTTTTCCAAGGACAGGCACAAAACCTCTAGAACAGCCCTCTACATAATGAAACTTAGGCATCCCTATCCTAATTAAATACAGAAAGTATAATAAAATATATAATGATTTTTCTGAAATGGCAATGCAGTATCGCTAATAAAACAGAAGCAAATAAGGGTAACAGGCAAGTCTAAGAATTGGTGATTTTTTTCTTATACGATTTCAATGCTGAAGATACTACATAAATGCTACATCAGAGAAAGAAAGAAATGCTGCTACCAAAAAACCTTATATAACAGTTATCAAAGAAACGCAACCCAATGATAAATATATTTATTGCATTATCATGAACCAATACCACATTGGAAGTGGTGCCATAGAAAATCCTGCCAAGGGGACTTCCAATTTGCCATTGCAGCCGCCGCAGCAGCTGGAAAGCAAGCTGCGTCTTCTGCGTTCGGGTTTGTTCCGCTGGGGGACCCTGGAAAGGGTTGAAAGTCACCCTGTAGGGGTGATGAGCAAGGAGGGGACTCCTGCTTGATCGCAGGAGAGGGGCAGCCCTTCTGCTCGATCCGGGGTAGCCCTCCAAACCGGCGGAGGAAAGACTGGCCATAGCAATATGGCTTGTCACTAAGCTGCAGACAGCCAAAGTCAAATTTACCACCAAGCACTTCTAAAGCACTTCTTAAGATCCTAAGTATTTTCTTTTCCTGTAAAAGCTGCCCAACGTCTCTTTTCCCCCTGTGAGGAGAGAGGGAAGGGAATTTCTATCCCACCCTCTAATAGCGGCAACTGACTACCCAGGGGAATTAAAGCACTAAAAGAACAATTTTAATTTAATTGGATTTATATGTTTCTGAAACTTGGGGACCAAAAGTTTTCTTATTTTTATTGGAGACTTTTGTTCTTATCTACAAAAAAGAAATAAAACTGGAAAAAGGATTATAAAATTTTTGGACTTAAAAAACCTTAAACTGCATCGGTGACATCTTGTGGCAAAGTTTGGTATTACAACTTGTTATTGCCTAAAAGAGACTTGGCTTGAAGCCCAGATTTCAGATAAAACTCTTTCGACCTTGATAGATACCATCTGTAAGCAACTCAGCTGTAAATAGAATTTCTGGGTGGCATAACTTGCCTGCTTGAACTATGAATGTAAACCTTTATTGACTTTCAGGCTTCCAGTTTGTCACGTGGTCACCATGGATGGCTGGGAGATTTGCTCTCTCTCCCCCGTTCAATTTTGCATTGCTGGGGGTCCTGAAAAGGGCCAAAAGTCACCCCTAAGAGGCGACCAGCAAGGAGGGGCTTTCGCTGGACCGCAGGAGAGCAGCAATTCTCCCATTAGAGCTGGCGGATGAAAGGACCGGCCATAGAAATATGGCTTCTCCCTAGGCTGCTAACAGCCAAAGTCACATTTACCATCTGGCAACTTTAAAGCAGCATGGAAAAGACTGGGTGAGATCTGCCTCTCTTACATCCTAATTACTTAATTACCTGCATAAGCTGCTAAAGTGGTGAGGGAAGGGGGATTTTAGCCCTCCTTCCAGAAACAGCAGCAATCAACTACTCGGGAGTTTAAAACGTTGGAAAAATACTGGGATTCTAATTGGGATTCTATTTCCTAAAATTGGTGGATTATAAGACTTGTAACTTTCTACTCTCTATTTTTTCTCTCTCTGATTTTTACTCTAACTATTATTGAAGATTGGGGTTTCCCCCCCCTTAAAATAGAGGGGGAAACCCCCCCTGAAAAGATCCAACTAACTCTGAGATGACATCTGGTGGCTAAATTTGAGAGTGTAACCTGCTATTCTTTAAGAGAGACTTGTTGGCAGCTTTGAAAATAGATAAGATATAAAGCAACCTTGAAACACCAGCTGCAAGAAACTCAGCTCAGCTCCTTACTTGGTGGACTTTCTGACTGTAAGTTTTTTTTTAGTTTAATATACTACAATGGAAGAAGAACAGGAATGGATTTCTCCTACAGAGGAAGAACAGGAACAAATTCTTTGTATGTTAAAAGCAATTATCCAAACTCTCCATATAAGTCTGGATATGCAAACTCAAACTATGACTTCAACCAAAGAATCA